GGAAGTGTGGGATTACCAAAACTATTATCCAGAGGGCTGAGGAAGGGTTATTGAGATGGTTTGGACATGTAGAGAGGATGGGTCAAAATAGAATGACTTTGAGAGTGTATAAATCTGTAGTGGAGGGAAGGCAGGGTAGGGGTCAGCCTAGGAAAGGTTGGAGGGAGGGGGTAAAATAGGTTTTGTGTGTGAGAGGCTTTGACTTCCAGCAGGTGTGCTTGAGCATGTTAGATAGGAGCGAATGGAGACAAATGGTTCTTAGGACTTCACGTGCTGTTGGAGTGTAAGCAAAATAACATTTATGAAGGGATTCAGGGAAACTGGCAGGCCAGACTCGATTCCTGGAGATGGGAAGTACAGTGCCGGCACTCTGAAGGAGGGGTGTTAATGTTGCAGATTTATAACTGTAGTGTAAGCATTCCTCTGGCAAGAGAGTGATGGAGTGAGTGATGGTGAAAGTTTTTCTTCTTCAGGCCACCCTGCCTTGGTAGGAAGCGACTGATGTGTTAATAAAAAAAATATAAAAAAAAATTGTTCATAGCCTTTTCGTTTTCTTTTTAACACCAGCCGTTTCCCACCAAGGAAGGGTGACCCAAAGAAAAAAGGAAATATATTCACTTTTATATATTCATAATAAATTGGCAAGAAAATTATTACACTGTGTAAAACAGTGCAGGATACGGATTAGAAATACTGAACACTGATAGTTACATTGTTCAGTTAGTTGGCTAGCCATATTGTACATTCCTTACCAGTCCTATGGGTAATAGTCACCCCATACCCACCCTCTGGGTGGTGATCACCCCATACCCATTCTTTTGGCAGTAGTCAGAATATTAGAGGTACATAATGGGTCCAGGAACCAGACCCATAGATTTTGTTAGTTACACTGGTAGTAAAGTACAGTGGACCCCCGGTTAACGAACTTTTTTCATTCCAGTAGTATGTTCAGGTGCCAGTACTGACCGAATTTTTTCCCATAAGGAATATTGTGAAGTAGATTAGTCCATTTCAGACCCCCAAACATACACGTACAAACGCACTTACATAAATACACTTACATAATTGGTCGCATTTGGAGGTGATCGTTAAGCGGGGGTCCACTGTAGTTTCCATCAATATATAGTATTGCCAGAGTCATAATAAAATTGGCTGCTTTCATGAGATATGTCATTCACGACTGATGACTATCACTTGTGCATATTTTTTCTTGCTATTGCGGTAGTTGCATAATATTTGAGATGTTGAGAGTAGTAAGGGCAAACTTGACTTCAAAACTTCATTTAAAAACAAAAAAAAATTCTGAACTCTTTATGCATGTAAAAATAATCACAGCAAAAAAAAATTAAAGTACAGTAAACTCTCTGAAAATATGGGGCAAAATCCACTGAATGAATTGATTGGGAAACAAAGTCAATTGTTTACTTATGGCAAAAGAGTCTCAACTCTGTTCACCACAGTCGTCATTATCAGCCACTTGCTTCCCCCTTATTAAGCCATTTATGGGCCTAAATAGTATTTTAAGCATTTTTTTACCACCGTTCACATATGAAGTTCGCCTTTACTATTTGCAACACACAAACTGCTTTAGTATAGTTTGCCATGGTATGTGTCCTGATGTTTGTGTTGGCCTTCATGTGGCTTTCACTGGATAAGTTCTAGTATTTAGAGAGAAAAAATCATTTAGTGAGAGTTAGTCTACCAATGCCACAGCTGTAAATATGCAAGACTGTAATGTTTATAATAACAGATTTGTCACATGTTTGTTTCAACTATTTAGGCGCTGTAGAACCCTCACAGGTTTTGTGCTTCCATATAATAATTAAAATAATTATAATAACTAATGTTAATAATAATATTAATATTTGTAATAATATTTCATCCAAAATATTTTGGCACTGGATTGCAAAAACAATAAAGTTTATATTGTCTGATCTAAGGAAAGGACACTTGACAGTAACAGTAGACAATGATGAATCTTATAAAGTATAAAGTCATTTAGAATTTGCACAACATAATAATTAAGATAAGCCAAATTATAAGTTAAAACTAAAGGGAAATTTGAGTTTTTAAATAAGTTTAAAAAATTACTTTATTAGCATAACTCATATGGATGATGTGCACATTGCTCATTCACCAGGTTAAGCAACGGTGGATCTGGCCAGTAACTGGAGTGGTGATTGTGTCAATAGCAGCTTCACCCTTCTTTATGGGGTCTTCCGTTAACCCCAGGCTTTCTCCTCCTGGCAGACTATAGCATACTTAACCAATTTCAGTAAGATGCAACAGTAAATATTATATTTATGGAATACAGTACCAACAAGAAGATAAGTAAGACACTTGTGTGACAGTTGGGTATTTTTGTTGTCGAAGAAGAAGGCTGCAAGGCGGGTAAAATGTTTCGATGCAAAAGACACCCAACTGTTGCACAAATGACTCACTTACCATACAACAACTAGGCTTAGCAACATTGAACATAACTTGTCTTCAAGAAGAATTACATGATGATTTCTTATTCACTTGTCTGATACATAAGAACATAAGAAAGGAGGAGCACTGCAACAGGCCTACTGGCCTATACATGGTGGGTCCTTCTCAATTCCATCCCAATAACAAATATATTGGCCCAACCCATTTTCAGTGCTACCCAAGCAATAAAACAAGTTGATTGTGTGGCAAAACACAAGAATTTATTTTACAACTAGTAAATAGTATGTAATACTATGAAAAACTGTGACTATTGCATTACCTTGATGCTGGCAAAGGGCCCTGCATCGAAGGAGTTGGAGCAAGTCTTATGTATCTCTGATAAAGCGGATAAACCTCCATTCCCCAGGTGCAGTACGACCCCCATAGCTCATGCAGTATCTCAATTCTTTTGTATAATCCAGCATTATCTAAGTTAAGTTAGTATATATATTTCTTTGAATAAATAACTTTTAAAGTTTATTCAGTAATAATATTGGTGTATATAGCATTATCTAAAAAACAGTAAACAATACGTTCATAACTATCATAATTAATAAACCTTAGATCAGTTAGGGGAGCCAAATAAATTTTGTTTTTTTTCAAAATATACCAGTAGCTAATGGAACTGATAAGTTTCTGTCAAAACAAAATTCTAATTCATTGTAGTTCACATAGCTTACTGATCGACAGTGTTTATCCGACTACCCATGCATAGTGGGTTTAGTGCTACCCTATGTATATATATACAATAATACCCATGATCATTAGTATATGATATGTAACTTTTATTTTACTGACAGCTTGTGTGGGTCCAATTACCCATGCATAAAAAAACATGAATTTTGTTTATTTTAATATGCTGGTTTATCGTATTTTGTTTTGCACTGATCTTAGCATTCATTAAAACTAATAAAAAAACTCTTATGTACTGATTTGTAGAAAAACACTTACATTACTGATTTGTAGAAAAACTTAAAATCCATTATCCACATGCTGCACTAAAACCAAGTTCTATTTATATTTCAAAACAACACCAGTATAAAGAATGTGATATGTTTATTACAGAATAGATATATGCATAGTAAATTGCACTGATAACAATTAAGATGGCAACATGTATATATACACTATATATACACCAAAGGGTGTATATATTGTGTAGTATATACCTTGGGAGTTTACTGTAATCTTTGCTTTAGGGATCAGAGCATTCTTGATTAGTGGTGTGTAGATGGACAACGGCCTCATTGACAAATGTTTAGTCAATAGGGAAGCGCAACAGAGCAAAACTCAGACCGACACATGATCAACATAGTAACTGCTGGACTCTTATACCCAAATTCTAGGATATCCAAGACAAGTGACTTTTACTGGGAGCTTTGCCATTGCACATTACACAGTGTAAACACACGAAGAATGCATGACCTACCATTTTTTCACAATATCGGTGTTTTTTACATACAGTAGTTTCTTTTCTTTTTTGCCTTTGAGGGTAGAATGGCCTTTAAGAAGTCTCAGTAAAGTAAGTTTGTGATAGAATATTGACTTGATATACACTATAAATAGTTGTATCATATTTTATTGATGTATTAATACTTTCTGCGTATGTTTAAAGTGAAGTCTTTCCTTTATTGTTTATGGACATAAATGAAGGAAACAGGTTAGAGCATTTCTTACCGTGATTTTTGTCATGATCATTAATTTTATCTTTTAAGTGTTTCTGTCGTTGAAAATTTAATTTTATTCCAATTTCATCAGTTTGAAACTTAAAATGTTGAGACATAATCAATTGTTATTAATTAAAATGACGGAGAAAAATTTATCGTTTTGGATTTGAAGTCGTAAATTGTTGTTGATAATTCTTCCATAAACTAGAGTAATGTTGACCATTGGGTCAATTATCCCATGTGTTTTATGAGGGTATTCATATTAGAGGAGCACATACCACTGCCGTTTAGTGCCTACGTAAATTTTCAATTCTTCCTCTCTGATGAGGGGCATTCTGGGAAAGGCACTAGTTCGAAATATGAATATGCTTCAAGCATACGGATGACCTAAAACTACAGTGTATATTTTAGTATTTATGTCCATTTGCACACATTTGTAATATTTTGGAGAGAGCGTAGTCAATTTGGTAGATAAATTTTTGATATTTAAATTGAATTCTTGATACGAAGCACAGTACTTGTACTGCAATTGCATTTTTATTAATGCAGTAACTAGAATTTTAATTAATAGATCAATTTTTATCTACAATAAATTGATTGAATTTATTAAAAATGAATACATTAAAGTTGTATAAAGATAACTCTGGATAACTGAGTAGTTTAATCACATTATGAAGATATATAAGCTCCATACAAGCATTAACTTCTTTAGTCAAAACTTTTGAGATTAATGTAGATATGACTACTTGTTGAAGTGAAAATGATTGAGAACCTGTCATCTAATGCTCAAATATTTCTTTGTCACTATTTACTGTTGTACAGAAGAGTTCAGAGCCAGATAGTAACCTATGACCTCCTTCGCAGGTAACTCTGACTTTGAGAATAATGAAGCCGCACCCAGCTCACCCACTAGTCAGCTACTACAGGAATACGAGATGCATCTGCGCAACACCCTGGCGAAAGGCATGGATGCTGAGAGCTACAGTCTTCACACCTTCGAAGCTCTCCTCACACAGAGCATGGAAAATCTAGGTAGGATTATAAATTTATGTGTATCAGACACTCACATAATTTATTAAATAAATGAGAGATTAACTTTTAAATCATTACATTCCCTTTACTTAATTCTAAAGTTGAGTTCCAGGGCTAAGACAGATAGACTTACTGTATATTTCTAGTGAAAATGCAATTAACATACAGCATATTGACTATATAATAAACTCACATTTTTCTAGATGGTTTATTATTAAACAGATTTTCTTAAGTTTACTACTTATTTCAAAACCACTAAAGGGTTTTGCATCTATACATATAAAAGTCAAAGGTGAGCATTGAGCATACCAATGGAAGGAAGACATGTTCCTTACTGACAGTACTTACTGAAGTTTAACAGTTGAGTGTGAATAATATTTTATATACATAATTGTTATAATCACCATGGGGAAGTGGGGAAGAATCATTCCTCCATAAGTCATGCGTGTCGTAGGAGGTGACTAAAATGCTGGGAGTAAGGGGCTAGTAACCCTTCTCCTGTATAAATTACTAAATGTAAAGAGAGGAAAACTTTATATTTCATCTTTTTCGGGTCACCCTGCCTCGGTGGGAGACGGCCAGTGTGTTAAAAAAAATTATTATTAGTTGGATGTGACCCAAACATCAAAAGTAGCCTGGTTACAAGCCATGTTTCTTCCTAACCCTGAGCACACAAGTGAGCCCCTCAAGCATCTTATTCTCCTGTATGTTCTGATGACATGAGCAATTTTGTATCAAATATTTTTCCTTGGCAAATATGGATAGTGAATAAAATTATGTATTACAACATGTTCACAAACTGAATCAAAGACTTTTTTAATAATAACTGGGCATGCATACTTCTCTTTGCACTATTTTATAATACTAGTCAAGTAGTTACTGTAGAATGTAAGGTGAAACTAGAGGAGCACTACAGTTGACCTACTGGCTCATGCTAGACAGGTTCTACTCGCCCAACTATTCCTATTTACGGATCTGGCTAACCTATTTTTAAAGCTGATTAACATAAAGTATCGACCTTCCCTCTACATACTGTCATATTGTTATATACATCATATAACCTAAAGTTATATTTCTTGGAAATTATATACTGCAGTTATAATATATCAGAGCAAAATATCCTATGATAAGCAGTGCTTGGAAATTGAATTTGTGTGTTTTTAAGAGGAAGAGCAAGCAAGTCCTTTACATCAGAAGGAGATAAATTCATGATTGCTACCTTGGAAGCAGTTTAAAAAATGTATTTATAAATAAAATTACTTGTACTGTACATACTTTAATAAATAAATTAGACTAAACTAGAGCCAGATTCCTTACTTGCTGCTATAGTATCCCTATGCAAACTTATTTTTTAATTTGAAAATTTTGGAATGAATGAGTTCAGTTGTTAACTAGTTAAGGCTCCCATCATTGAAAAATGGTTTGGTGATACTGACATGATGTGGAAAAAGACAGGTACAGTTCAGGACATTTATTAACCCCTTCAGGGTCCAAGGCCAAAATCTGAAGTGGTGCTCCAGTGTCCAAGAAATTTTGAAAAAAAAAAAAATTATTTTTTCTTACAGAATTAAAGAGCATATTTTTGTGAAGGTAATAAGGCAAAAAAAAAAATTTTCTGATCAGTACTTACCGAGATACAGTGCCAAGAAGTTTGCCCAAAATGATGTGGTGGCAGCAACATCGACGAATTCCACATACGCGCTTTACATTATTTAGCGGTTTTTATAGTTTTTTCTTTTCTTTTCCAATTTTTTTCTTTTCCTACTAACATTTGGGGCCTGAGAGACCAATACTGTATATAATGTATATATATAAACTCACTGTATTGAACACAATAACCACACTAAAGTTATTATCATATTATTGTTTACCACTGTTGTTTATTACAATAAACATGCACAAATCTTGTATAATACTAATGTTCTATCATATATTTACATATTTACAATCACTGGACATGGTTTTAGAACTGCTGGAGCTTGTGGAACTCCTTGAAACAAGGCACCATGCACAGAGGCACCTTACATTCCTCACACATAAACCGAGTGTCTTTGTGTCTTTGTTGCCATCTCTTCTGAGCAAATTTCTTCTGAGTTGAAGGAAGCTGTATTATGAAATGATCACCTTCCCTCCTCAAACGCTTGGGTATATCCTGAGTAATTCGAGGACCTTGTTGTATAGCAGGTGTTCTTACCTGGTACTTCATTATGAGTTGTCTGGCAACAGACAAACAAAATTCACCATACGGTGGTCTGTTGCCAGTCTTTATTTGGTACATATTATATGCATTGAGCATTGAAATGTCCATGAGATGGAAAAAAAAGTTTCATGCACCACTTGTAACTTTTATGAACACAGTCAACAAAACCAATCTGCATGTCACATTTGTCAACCAAGCGCATGTTTTGTGTATAATCAATCACTGTCACGGGTTTTCGAATACGTTCATTAGTCCACTCGATCAACTTTGCCACTGTCTTGCATTTCACTACGGTGAATGGTTGTCAACAATGTGACATCTCGTTTGTCATGCCACCGTAATGCCATGATGTCATTGGCAGTAAACACCTGCACGTCATCACCACGAGCACTGCGTTGAGCCTGGGCATATGTTTACGATTAGAACGCACTGTGCCACACACATCTGTCTTGTTCACTCGCATGAAATCACTGAGTAATGGGCTTGTGTACCAGTTATCGGTATATAATGTATGCCCCTTACCAAGATAAGGTGCCATCGTGTTTCTCACTACGTCACCTGAGATACCCAATAACATCTTGGTATCTTTCAATGTTTTACTTCCCGTGTATACAACAATATCCAACACCAGGCCACTGTCACAGTCACAGAGTACAAACAGTTTTATACCAAAGCGTTTCCTCTTGCTCGGTATATACTGCTTGAATGACAGTCTACCTTTGAACAAAATCAAAGACTCGTCAGTTACAACATTCTTGAATGGATAAAAGTATATGCTGAACTTTTGTTTGAGATACATGAAAACATTTCTAATCTTATATAACCTGTCACTTCTGTCAGGCCTGGTTTTGTCAGAGAAGTGCAACATATGTAAGAGTAAGATAAACCTATTCACTGGGATGATTTCACTGAAGACTGGGGTAGAAATTAGCCGATCTGTGGACCAGTATGCTTTTATATTATGCTTATAGACATGAGGCATAAGCATTGTTGTTGCAAAAAGCAAATACATTTCTGCAACAGTTGTCTCTTTCCACCTGTGTAGTCTTGACTGTAGTGATAAGATCGTATTTGCCATGGTGTACTCAAAATACTTATTACTTTCCCTGACAATAGTTTCCATCAGTGGCTGGTCAAAGAATAATTCAAAGAATTCCAGTTCATTGGCCGTGGTTCCAAGGGAACAAGTAGGTAGAATTCCACTTTGAGAGTCATCAAAGTGGTGAGGCTTGGGAACAAAATTGGGATTTTGCTGCCAATCCCACATACGGTTTGCTGGTGGATACTGGACATCATAGGCTGGTTGTGCGGGTGGTTGTGGTTGTGGTGGACTGGTGGCTGACGCTCCGCTTTGTCCTTGAACTGACGAGTCAGCAGCGTGGGTCCCAGCGTGGGCTGGTGAGTCACGCATGGCGGTGCCACTACCATCACCACTACCACCATCCACTGATGCCTGTGGTCTATCCATGCCAAGTGTAGCCACATCATCCTCACTATCACTACCTAAAACTGGTGTAGGGCCACGGGATGTACTCCGGGATGTACTTCGTCCCCTGGGCACAGCATAGGGTACACTACCCAAGCGCATGCGGCAGCGAACATACCGACGTTTCACTGGTGAATATGATTCCTCAGTATCACTACTCGAATGATCGTCGAGCGCAATAAAATCACAATCCACGTCACTATCATCATCATTACTGAAGTCAGAGGCCTGGCCACGTGAAAATATTAGTTTTCTCTTGTGTTGAGGCATAACCGACTGTGAGTCACGAGTGCCCACACCAGAGGTAGAAGGTTGAGGATCGTCAGGGTTTTCTGCACTACGTATTATCGATGTCCTGGTCATTCCTTTCAGTCACTAACTGATCAAAGCCGTAAAATTCGTCTTCATTTCCACTCCCATCAGTGTCAGAACTATCAGATAGGAAGAGGAGAGTCCCAATTTTCCGGGGAGTGAGAGCTGACTTGCGACGAGGCATGGTGAACAAGGGTAACTGAGCCGGCGTTCCCACAATGCTATGCGGGCGCCTAGATTTTTTGTTTATGGCGCACACCCACCACGCAGACCCGTTCTCTCACATGTAGGCCTACGAGCGCTTTCACGCTAAATTTGACGGCGCTAGAATTTTGGCGTAGATCTACGGTTTGGACACTCAACGTGAAGCCGTAGATCTACGGGATGGACCCTGAAAGGGTTAAAGAAAACATTTTACCATGAGTGACTGCTTCAGTCCTCATAACTCAAGAGCCACTCGTGGTGAATCCTCTCCTCTAATGTCCTCTCAAGGGCAGTTCCTTCATGCTAGTGAGGGGCTCTTGATCTAGGGAATTGGATCTGTGCTTCGGTTCCCTGAATTAAGCCTGAATACCTTCCATCCCCTCCTCATGCGCACTTTATAATCCTATAGGTTTAGCGCTCCCCCATGATTATAATAATAATAATAATCTCCTCTAATGTATGTCCTGAACTGTACATAAGTCTCTCTTTCCACTCTCATAATTCCCTCGTGTATGTGATGTATGCTTATGCAAGACCTTCTCTTGATATACAACTTGTGTATTCATTGATGCTTTCACCTTGGCTAATTGGGTTTTAAGCCCAATGATTGCATGAGAATCATTAAGGCTGCATACCAAGTATTCACCACTGGACAATGATACTTTTATCCCTAATACAGGGTTGAAGCTCCAAGGGTATGTATACTGAGATATACATCCCTCCAAGTTCACATGCACTGTTATGCTCAGTCCATGCATATTCAAAATGCTTTCACCTTTGATCCTCATTTTCTAATTC